ATCGACTCGGTCGCCATGTCCGCGCAGCTTACGAGCGAGCGCGCGCAGTCACTGCTGACTTGCCTGAGACAGTTCGAGGGCAAGAGTGCGGTTCCACTGAAACTTTTTCGTCTACGTTAGTGGCGAAGTCCTACAGAGCTGCGGGACAGGCAGCCACCTCTTTGCATGCCATGGCCATTCTGCAGGTCTACCAGGCCCAGATGCTCAGGGACATGCACGAGGGTAGGACGGACCCAGGGCTCTTCAATGAGCTGCGCGCCGCCACCGACCTTGCTCTCCGAGCGACGAAGGTGACCGCACGCTCCCTGGGTTTGGTGATGTCCACAGCCGTGGTCCAGGAGAGACATCTATGGCTTAATCTTGCCGATATGAAGGATGCCGAGCGGTCCCGGCTGCTCGACACCCCCATATCGCAAGATGGCCTTTTCGGCGGTGCAGTCGAGGACTTTGCCCAACAGTTCTCGACTGCGCAGAAACAGACTGAGGCTATTAAGCATATTCTGCCCCGACGGCCCGCTGCTGCCTCCACCCAGCCGACCGGGCAGAGTACTCAGTCTGTTCGCCGCCGAGGGCGCCCTCCTGCGACTCCCGCCCCTCCCGCCCGGCCCAAGCAGCAGCCTCCACCCGGGCCCGGTCGCGGAGGAAGTCGCAAGAAGGCGCCCCAGCCCTCTCCAGCCCCGCCCCCCGCTAAACGCCGGGCCAAGCGGCGCTCCTGAGACGGGCTGCTCAGGGATGACGTGTGTTTCTCAGGAGGTGGTAGCAGGACCACTCCTTCCCCCGGTGGAGGGCCGGGGGAGAATCTTTTGTTCTCCACTCCCCGCTGCTCACCCACGGGTGGGCAGCACCCTAATGTGGTTAAGAAAGAAATAACACGTTCATCCCTGAGCACACAGAGTTCTTGGACGACACGGTGCGCCGCCCCCGGGCCGTGCACCCCTCGTCCTCCTCTGTCCCAGAGCCGGATGACAGTGCGCGCCGTCTCCGGACCGTACCACTCTCATCCCCCTCTGTCGCCAGACCCCTGGCAGAGCAGACCCCCGTGGAACGTTCGTCCTTCCCTGGTCTCCTCTGTCAGGGCGCGGTTCATGACTGCACCCCCACATCGGGCCGCTATGCCGTCCACGTCTGGGTCAGTCATACCGCCTCGCTGCCCCACCGACGGGAAGTCTGTGGTTCGCATGACCCCGCTGGTTCAGTCCTTGGGAGCTTGGTTAGAGCTTCCCAACCTGTCCCGCTGGGTCGCACGAACGATCAGGCTCGGCTACGCGATTCAGTTCGCGCGGTCTCCTCCCCGCTTCAGGGGAGTCCGCTCCACTATGGTCGGTGGCAATGCCCCTATCATGAGAGCGGAGGTTGCTACCCTGCTGGCGAAGGGTGCGATCGAGACTGTCCCTCCAGCCGAAATGAGGTCCGGGTTTTACAGCCCCTACTTCATTGTTCCGAAGAAAACCGGTGGGTTACGGCCAATCCTGGACCTGCGCGTATTGAACCGCTCCCTTCACAGGCTGCCGTTCAAGATGCTCACCGCCAAACGCGTTTTCGAATGTGTGCGGCACCAGGATTGGTTTGCAGCGATCGACCTGAAGGACGCCTACTTTCATGTCTCCATTCTCCCTCGACACAGACCGTTCCTACGGTTTGCTTTCGAGGGACAGGCATATCAGTACGCAGTTCTCCCATTCGGGCTAGCCCTGTCCCCTCGCGTCTTCACGAAGGTCGTCGAGGCAGCCCTTGTTCCCCTCCGGGAACACGGGGTTCGCATTCTGAACTATCTCGACGACTGGCTGATTCTAGCTCACTCTCGAGATCAGCTTTGCGAACACAGGGATTTGGTACTCCGCCATGTAGCCCGTTTGGGCCTTCGGGTCAACTGGGAGAAGAGCAATCTTTGCCCCGTGCAGAGGATCTCTTTTCTCGGTATGGAGATCGACTCGGTCGCCATGTCCGCGCAGCTTACGAGCGAGCGCGCGCAGTCACTGCTGACTTGCCTGAGACAGTTCGAGGGCAAGAGTGCGGTTCCACTGAAACTTTTCAGAGGCTCCTGGGGCATATGGCATCTGCAGTCGCGGCAACGCCGCTCGGATTGCTTCATATGAGACCGCTTCAGCTTTGGCTTCGCGACCGAGTCCCGAGGTGGGCATGGCAACACGGCACGCTCCGAGTACCAGTTACTCCGACCTGCCGTCAGACCTTCACCCCGTGGGGGAACCTCAGCTTTCTACGGGCAGGAGTGCCTCTGGAACGAGCTTCCCGGCATGTTGTTGTAACGACAGATGCCTCCACCACGGGCTGGGGTGCCATGTGCAATGGACGTGCTGCCGCGGGCTCCTGGACAGGACCCCACCGCTTATGGCACATCAATTGCCTCGAGTTGCAGGCTGTACGTCTTGCTTTGCGCCGCTTCCGGGCCGTGCTCAAGAATCAACACGTACTAGTCCGAACAGACAATACCGCCACTGTAGCGTACATCAACCGTCAAGGTGGTCTGCGCTCCCGCCGTATGTCGCAACTCGCCCGCCACCTCCTCTTTTGGAGTCAGAAGCATCTGAGGTCGCTTCGAGCCATTTACATCCCTGGAGCCCTGAACTGTGCAGCCGACGAGCTGTCACGGCTTCAGCCCCTCCCCGGAGATTGGCGACTCCATCCCCAGACGGTTCAGCTGATTTGGGACCAGTTCGGGGACGCACAGATAGATCTGTTTGCCTCTCACGACTCGACCCATTGCGCCCAGTATTATTCCCTGACCGAGGGCACGCTCGGCACGGATGCTCTGGCGCACAGCTGGCCGCGGGGCCGCAAATATGCGTTTCCCCCAGTGAGCCTTCTTGCGCAACTCCTGCGCAAGGTCAGGGAGGACGAGGAGCAGGTCACTCTGGTCGCGCCGTACTGGCCCACCCAGACCTGGTTCTCCGAACTTGTACTCCTCGCGACAGCACCTCCTTGGCCGATTCCTCTGAGGAAGGACCTCCTTTCTCAGGGACGGGGCACCCTATGGCACCCTCGTCCCGATCTTTGGAACCTCCACGTGTGGCTCCTGGACGGGACGAGGCAGGGTTGAGTACCCTGCCACCAGCGGTGGCGGCTACCATCACTTCCGCTAGAGCGTCGTCCACGAGACACCTCTACGCGTTGAAGTGGAACCTCTTCGTCAGCTGGTGCTCTTCTCGCCGAGAAGAGCCCCGGAGTTGTTCGATCAGTGTTGTGCTTTCCTTTCTTCAAGAAGGGTTGGAGCGAAGGCTGTCTCCCTCCACCCTTAAGGTCTATGTAGCCGCTATTGCCGCACAGCATGACCTTATAGAAGGTAAGTCTTTGGGGAAACATGACCTGATCATCAGGTTCCTGAGAGGAGCGAGGAGACTGAATCCTCCTCGTCCTCCTCTCGTACCCTCTTGGGACCTCGCAGTGGTCCTAGCTGCCCTGCGCAGTGCTCCCTTTGAGCCTTTGCAGTCAGTCGAGCTAAACTTCCTATCTATGAAGACAGCGCTTCTGACTGCATTGGCCTCCGTTAAGAGGGTGGGGGACCTGCACGCATTCTCCGTTGACGAAGCGTGCCTAGAATTCGGGCCGGGCTATTCTCACGTGATCCTGAGACCCCGGCTTGGATATGTGCCCAAGGTTCCTACCACTCCCTTTCGGGACCAGGTGGTGAACCTGCAAGCGCTGCCCCGGGAGGAGGCAGACCCAGCCTTGGCACTGCTCTGTCCAGTACGTGCGCTCCGCATCTACGTAGACAGGACGCAGTGTTTCAGGACCTCAGACCAGCTCTTTGTCTGTTATGGTGGGAAGCTGAAGGGAAAGGCTCTCTCCAAGCAAAGGTTGTCTCACTGGTTAGTGGACGCCATTGCTTTGGCATACCAGCAGCAAGGTCGACCGTGCCCCCTTGGTGTGACTGCCCACTCCACCCGGAGTGTGGCATCCTCTTGGGCTCTAGCGCATGGCGCCTCGCTAACAGACATCTGCAGAGCTGCAGGCTGGGCGACACCTAACACATTCGCCAGATTCTACAATCTCCGAGTGGAGCCTGTGTCCTCTCATGTACTCGCTTCAACCAGCTAGTACCGGACCCGCTCAGGTGTCTTCGCTTGCTCGCCATTCCACTCTACGGACTGGATACGTGCGATATTCTCCTCAGGTGAGCTTCTCCGAAAGCCCTGAGTTCCTCCAGCACTCCTGACGTCGGCGCCAGTGTCTCTTGCCTGCGCGTCGGCTAGGTGCCTCCCGTGTGCATGGTACCTTCCGGAGCTACCCCCACATGTGTATTCCCACTGTAAGCCTCTCTGAGCATGTGTCTTTCCCTTGCCAAGCCACCAAATATTCCACCTGCGGCTGGATACCCCAGTGATTCCCCATATGCATCCCTCGGGTCATATGTGTATTTCTAAGTCCCCCCCTCTGGGTTGGCAGTAATTGCATACTTCCCTAAGACCTGGGATATGCTCCCCAGTGTACCTTGGTATTCCTGTGTTAAATAGGAGTCCTTCGTCCGTGCTAGTCTCACGACATGGATCTCAGATTTACGCAGGGCACTGGAAGACAGCTGGGAAGGTGGCGTGATTAGACTGGTATCCCCATTCGTCGTCATCCGACGGAACTCGGAGTGACAACGAAAGGGAACGTCTCGGTTACGGATGTAACCCTCGTTCCCTGAGTAGGGAACGGAGACGTTCCGTCTGTCTGCCACTTCCGCTGTGCCGCGAGGATCGCCTGACCTCAGTCTTGGCTCCTCAGCGAAGAAAACATGCCGGTTTGCTGCCAGCGTGCTCCTTAAATACCCACGAGGTGGGGCGGTGCTACGCTATGCAAATTCCGCAGACCCATGGCATTTCTTTGCCATTGGCTCGTTTTGAAGTATTCAAAGTCGATTGGCTTTCTAAGCGAAACCCCATTCGTCGTCATCCGACGGAACGTCTCCGTTCCCTACTCAGGGAACGAGGGTTACATCCGTAACCGAGACGTTTTCTGTTATTCCTTATTAGCCTCTTGTTGCTTTTTCTATGCAGCCATGCACCGAGCTTTTCAGATGGATCTAAGCAGGCTGCGTCTAGCTGCAGCACGTGCTTATGTCAAAGCCCTGGAGTCCAGCCTCGCGCCCATGTCTGCGAGCCTGACCGAGCCTCTCAAGATGAACGCAGTGGTAAGTTGTGCAATACTGAGTGCATGAACAAGATGAAACCGGATGGCCGATACTGATCTCCACTTCTGCTTTCTGTTCCTGCTAGGTTCAAGGGCTGGGCCCATCCTTCAAGCTCACTCTGAACATCCAGAACACTGCAGCGTCTCGTCCGGTCATGAACCTGGCCATCAGTTTTCTGTATGATGAAAGTTTGTACAGCATGAGGACAGCCTTCTTCAAGGTGACCTCAACTGAGCAGTTTCATGATCACTATTCTTACCTGATAAGTGCCGACTTTTTATGTGTAGTTATTAATGTTGAGGAAATGTTTTACTGAAAACAGTGAATTGTCGTGTGTCTGTAGATTCCCCTGCTGGTTCCAGGCCTGAATTACCCGATTGACACTTTTGTGGAGTGCTTGAGTGACAAAGGCATCTCTGACATCATCAAAGTAAGACTCGCACCCAGTTAGAACATTTATATTCTGAATGGCTAGAAAAATATGCAAATTGCACAATATACCAATATTAGCCCCAAAGTTTTATACAAAATTGAATTAACCATTTTATTTACAGAATAATAACTATGCGTCGCTCACATGCATATAAGGAAGTGACAGTAAAGACTTTCATAATGTTACAAAATATTTATACTTCAAATGCTAATAATACGAAATGATTCTTTAGCACCAAATCAGCATATTAGAATGATTTCTGAAGAAATGTTTTTTTCACTGAAGACTGAACAAGAACAAATTACATTTAATTACTATGTAATATATTTAAAGGTGCCCTAGAATGTTTTTTTTATTATTTTATAATGTTTCCTGGGTTACCCTTATAATGTTAGTATGTTTTTTAGATAAAAAATAATCATAATTTAGAAATAAATGGCATTTTTCCTAGCCTGCTTTTAGCCTCTGATTTGAACACTCTGTTTGAAGGGGCGTGTCTGCTGTGGGATTCAGTGTAACCGCGGCCACTGCTGTGATTGGCTGACATGCTTGCATATGAAATAGCTAGTACGCATTACATGTGAAACTCTCTCCCGAATACTTTTACTACTGCTATTATACGTTTTTACTATAACAGCTATCGAGATTAACGAATCGTGAGATGTTTTTAAAGTATTTAGATCTATTCCCATCACATAAAATGTTGCCGTGATGAGCATTGAGCAGATGACAGTGTGTTGATCGCGAGAATGAAGATCTTATCATTGCAAAGCAGTTTCTGCACTCTCTCTGCTTTCACCAATGCAAACACGATGATGTAAGTACAGTAAGAGCTTCGTTGTGCAGTAACGTGCGTCATTGATTTCATAACGAGTTTGGCAAGTGTCCACATAAACTCGCGCTGTGTGGAAAGATTGTTCTTTGATCGCTTTCTGTATATAATTTGTTCACAATTTAAATACGATTATTTTCATCCTACTAAAAGAAACGATGTGAAGCTGATATTTTAGTCACTGGCTTGACTTACTGATGCATAAACAGTATTGAACGATTTTGAGAGAAAGATTACCTGTCTGAACTTGAACAATTACACATCAGCTTGGTAGCTCGATCCGAGGCCAGCTCTGTATTGGCCCAATTTGAGGAAACACTCGGTGAAATGTTTGGAAATTTCCAGAGAAAATAAAATTAACCCATTGTTTCTTCAGAGGCTCAGATGAAGGAACTAAAAAATACTTTTGTGTTCATGTGTACATCCACACTGAGCAACTGCCATGCTTCGGCTGGGCAGTTCCGCCTGGCATTGAGGGCTGGCATTATGCAAATATTTGGAGGCGTACATATTAATGATCCCGACTATTGCGTCACAGTCGGTATTGTGTGGAGAACCGACCGTTTTTCAGGGGTGTTTTTCATAAACGTGAATTAAATGAGAACGCGAAAACAGTCCAGTTTGAGATTCACTCTATGTCATGTCCATGCACTGAACTCTTGTTATTTGACTATACCAAGGTAAATTCAATTTTGAATTATAGGTCACCTTTAAATAGAAATGTTTATTTTAAATTATAATAATATATATATATATATATATATACATACACACACACACACACACAATATTACTGTATTTTTGATCAAATAAATGCAGCCTTGGTTTTAATAGACAATCAAAAACTAAAACATTCAAAAAATCGTATCGATCCCAAACTTTTGAATGGCAGTGTGTGTATAAAATGTAGGTAAAACAGTGTTTATCTAAAATGCTGTGGCATAAGTAATCTATTCATGTCTACATTTGCTTGAAACTGAATATTCTATTATCATTCTATCACTGGTGCCACCTCAAAAAATAGGAGCATGATGCCCCTATACAGTCCCATGATGTACTACATAAACGTTGATTACTGTATGCATGAAATCAAGCCGATGTTTGTTGTTATGTTTCTGATTTTAGGTGTTTGTGCTGAGAGAAGGAAAGAGTGCTCCTCTCCTCACCGCCCACATCAACATGCCTGTGAGTGAAGGACTTGCACTGAACTGAGAGCGAGTCGTGTCGTCTAGCTGAGCTTCACAGGCGTCTTCAACTCTTGCTGTGCTCCTAGCAGCAGCAGTAGTTAGCAGCGAGGCTTCTCCAGGCAGCTGCCTGAAACGTCACAGGAGTAAAGAGAAGCTTGTGCTGGCCGTAGAGCCGGTGCTTCCTGTAGTTTAGATCAGGATCGAGGGAGTCGTGTCCTCACAGGCAATACCTTTTAATGGATAGTGACTGGAGCCTTTGATTGACAGCTGTGAGGCCAAGTGCTCCATAGTTTGGATGTAAGAGTTGTTCTGATGTTTATTTGTGGTAGTCATGTATATGTGTATGTAAATTCATATTTATTATTCCTGATGTAATGATCACACACAAACTCAATTATGAGACTTTATTGACTTTTGTTGTTATATAATTATTCATTACATGATCAGTGTAATGGTTTATGGGGTTAATCTTGCAAAACCGTTCAAGGCAGAGAGAGCAGTAAGTAAAAGATTAGGTGCGTCCCAATTCACATTCTTATGCACTATTCTATGACGTTTTGTAGTATAAATAGTGTGAATAGCACTTTAAATACCTGGATGATGCACTTAATTAACCGAAAAAAAGAAGGTGGAATGTTTGACCCTTCATGCACTCAAATGTCGTATCAGAGGGGCATCAGAATTCAATGTTAAATGACAAAATAACCATATGAAATTCATACAATACATGGTTGAGTACATAGTGCATAAGTACATAGAGTATAAGTGCAGTGTTTCATCTGGGACACAACTATTGTATACTACTTTTAAAGCACACACATGAAGAGGCACACGGGTGAAAGGTCACAGGAGAGAATCTCATGTAAAGGGCAGCCAGAGCTGTTGACGACTGACCCTCCGCTAAGCCCCGTTACTGACCAGTCCTGCCTTAGCAAATGTTGCTGATCACCATATTATCAGACAAGCTTTTGCTCATCTATTCTGTATGTCTATGGAATTCCAATGTGTTTTAAAGATTTTAACCGGGTTTACGGGCAATATAAATAGTGGCACGGTACCAAAAGAGGATAGAGACAATATTTTTTTATATATATTTAAGAGAAAAAAAATGGTCTGAGTGAGCATCAGTAACCAAATGGAGTGGGGCTTAGTGAAAGGTCAATTCATTCTCTCCCTCTATACAGTGCAACAGTGCCATCCATTTTTCAGAAGTATATTTTCCTTTCATTTCTCCCATAGGGATTTAGAAAAAAGTTTTCATTAAAGCGTTATAAGCCATGAATCAAGACAACCAGCTACAAGGTGAATCATAACATTACAAACTTTGATTTGAAGCAAAACAGTATTTGAAAATCGGACTAAAATAAAAACGTACAAGACTGTGCACTTACCAGCTTCAGTGATGGGAAGACCTACAATCCCATGAAAAATTGCAAACAGCATAATCAATTCAAACCGATGGAGAAATCCAGTAGCACCTCAATGCAGTACATGAGATCCACGGGGAGGAGTCGGATCAAGATCCAAGGGGTGGAGATGGGTAGGATTAGGGGTGGGGTTAGGGATTAGGGGTGGGGTTAGGGATTAGGGGTGGGTTTAGGGATCAGGGGGCGGAGATGGGTAGGTTTAGGTATGTAAGGTGGGAGATCCAGATCCAACTCCTCCCCGTGGATTTCATGTTCTGCAGTGAGGACCATCTCGAGAAATGTGACACTGCTCATTTAAAAATGTTGATTATATATATTAGCAATATGTTTTAAGTGTATTGCAAAATATGAACATATATACAAATATTTAAGCATTTTGAGAGCACAGCGAGACCGATTTGATTACATAATTGGCAGTGCTTCATGGGATTGGGCAGAACTAATTTGTTCTTTTGGCGTTTCGACTGGTGGAATTTTCTGTACTGCATCATGGGTAATGCAGTTTTTCACCACAAATTCTGCTGTTAAACAAGATTATTTTAAAACCAAGTATAATGCAATAATGCAGGCTAATGGCTGATGAATGATAAAAACATTGACAGCCAGTCAGAATCCATCCTGCTGTAATGAGCTCGAGCATTTAAAGTGACAGACAAGCAGGCGCTTCTAATAAACAGAACGATATCATCCGCTGGTGTGGATGCTAATATAGTTATCTTTATAGCTATCGTTCTTGGTGTGAACAGGCCTTAAGGCTGTTTAAAGGTTTATAAGTTATCATTAAAAATCTATTTCCCTATGGAGAAAACGAATGGAGTTTTTACTTCCTGAAACCCAACTGTTGCACTCTATTTCACAGTTATAGTCTAAACTTTTTACTCAGACTAGTCATTGGCATAAGTACAAACGTTCTCTTTGGCTCAGATACTTTTAAGTTTTGCCAACATATTTCTTACATGCTTGTAAACTTTATTGTACACTACCGTTCAAAAGTTTGGGGTTGGTAAGTTGTTTTTGAAAGAAGTCTCTTCTGCTCACCAAGGCTTCAATTATTTGATCAAAAATACAAGAAAAACAGTAATATTGTAAAATATTATTTCAATTTAAATTAACTGTTTTCTATTGTAATATATTACAAAATGTAATCAGCATCATTACTCAAACATTTATTATTATAATGTTGAAAACATTTGTGCTGCCTAATATTTTTGAGAAAACATTTTTTTCAGGATTATTTGATGAGTCATAGTTCAAAAGAACAGCATTTATCTGAAATAGAAAATGATTAACATTATGTAACATACAACTCTGTACTGTCACTTTTGATCCATTTAATTCATCCTTGTTAGCCTCAAACCTTTGAACAGTAGTGTAAACAAAAAATAAGGTTCACAGCTTTTTCTGAGTATATTCTATTAGCTGTTGCATCTCAATATTTGCTCTCCTTTCCTAAATCGTGCATATTGCCATATACTGCTGATAGTATGAGTGCTATACTGCTGGTCAGGCACCTGCTTCATAAACACAACTGAGGTTACATGAGGCATGTAGTAAAGAGGATTTGGGACTGAGGAAGCAGAGAGGACAAGGAACATCCATCTAAGCAAACATAGTGAGGGTGATCCACTATAAGACAGGGAAAAAACAAGAGGGAGAGAAATGTTGCAAAAATATATTACTGAGCCACAGAGAGACATTTGCTTTTTGAAGTTCTCATTACTAATGACCCGTTTAGACCAACCTGGGAGAAGCTGAAGGATACCAAACCATCTTCATCAGTGTCCATTGTTTTAAAGGTTTCTGTTGGAATAAATGTGAACTCTCAACACATCTAGTCCTACTGAATTTTGATGGGTTATAGTAATTGCACTGTGAAAATGATCATAAAAAAATGGAGATTTCTACTTGGCACACTTACTGAACATAGTCTCCAGGCGGATCAGACAGGCCACAAAGTTGTCAAAGTCCACGTTGAGGTCTGCCTTTGCATAGCGCAGGATTATCAGCTGGAACAGGTTGTTGGTTAACTTGAAGCCTTATTGAAGCATACAATCCAAAAAGTCATCATCAACATAATTTACCACAGTAATTATAGATAGGCTATGCTTATTAAAGTGTTGCATGTGGCAGATACCTGCTGATTCTAATGCCAGACGCATTTCATAAGAGCTCATTGTGCCAGACTTGTCCAAGTCAAACTTCCTAAACACAGCCTAATGATTTATTGAAGAAAAGAAAAAATACTGTCCAAGATCTACGCTACTATTCAAAAGTTTGGGGAAGGTAAGATAAAAAAAAAAAAGATAAAAAAAAAAGTTTATAGTTCCTCATAACATCGTAATATACATCGTTTAGATTTTTCTTATCAACAACCGAGACTGAGACCAGTTAATGATATGCTAAAGCCCGCCCACACGTTGACTGGATTGGTTACAAAGTAGTTTGTGACATAAGAAACGTGTTTTTTTTTTTTCACTGCTGTTTTAAGGAGAAAATACTCATCAATGGTGTTCATTTATGAATTTGCACATAGACAACATTAAAAACTTAATTTTCACTACAGGGGGTCTTTAATAAAAGTAAAACATTTTTTTATTTTTTTTTACATTTTCCAACCCCAAACCTTTGAATAGTAATGTATGTCTAATACTTCATTCATACATGCACCATAAAGTAAGCATAAAATGTAGCCACTGACAAGATATCGTTTGATCTTCTCCCAGAGCACATGGAAGTCTGTCAGTCCCAGCTTTCCAACTCCAGTTGTCTTTATAGCAGGTCAAGGTTTGTTCCAAGACTGTAATGCATACTATTCACATGCCTTCAAAGTGGTCCACAAATGCTAATATTCATAAATGTGGAGTCTTTAAAGGATACATCCATAAGATTTATCATGGCTCGACAGGCCTCTTTGCCAAATCCGTCAGTTTTTATATCTTTATCTGTAAGAAGAACCAGAAATAAGGTCATTTTATACTTCAGTTGCCTCCTTTCAGGGAATATACAAGGTAAAATATGACCTTAGCTTTATTCACAGCATATGTGACACGTTGAAAATTAACACAGAACTAATTGTGAAAACTGAAACATGCGTTACGTGTCCATTAGCACACTGACGTTTGCCAACCACCCGGTTTAGAATCATCTGGAGTTTGGACACATTGATCTCCATTTCCTGTAGAACAAAGTGAGCAAGTCAATGAAGCTATCGAGCATAACAGAAACCCATTAACACCACTTCCTGCTGTCTTACCGGCCCTGCCAGCTTTGCGAAAAGTGCCTTAAAGCCTGCGTCAATGTCACTCTCCTGGAGTGCAGGCTGCCACAGAAACAACACATTCATTAGCAGCAAAACTTCCCAGTATTCATCTATGTGCAGTATTGTTAAAAACATTTCACAGGGAAACTCACCTCCTCCGGTACATCTGCTGAAATTTCATCATCTAGCTCCCTATAGTGAAAGAACTACATTTTATTTTCTCTCAGAACCATCCACAAGAAAGATGGGTCATGGCTCGCCACTTTGTGCCAAATTTCATAACAGAATTGTCAAACAATTATATTGTGAAAAGATTCAGGGAAACTTCTGTTAAATGCAAGGCAGGAAATTTCTGTTAAATGTGTGTGACCTTCAAGCCTTCAGATGGAATTGCATGAGAGACCATCATGTTACTGTGTTAAATATAGCTCAGGAGCACTTTTAAAAACTGTTGTCACTTAATGCGGTCAAGTTAAGAATAAGTCTGCATCAAGAAATGCCACTCGAATCTCTATTACGCAAGGACAAAGCTTGTACATCAATTCAATGCAGAGATGCACTAAGTTCTCTGGGCCCGAGCTCATCTCAGATGGCCCAAAAGACAGTGAAAATGTTTGCTGTGGTCAGATGAGTCCACATTTCAGCTTGTTTTTGGGAAAACGGACATTGAGTTCTCAGTCCCAAAGAAGTAAGGGACAGTCCATACTTTCATCAGCATCTGTCATGATATGAGGTGCATCAGTGCAAACAGCATG